GTGTGTCTCGTCCCTTTTTTTCCATGTCCCTCCCGCGCTCCCTCTCACTCCTTCCCCTTTTCTCTCTCCTTCTCTTTCTCTTTTCCTTCCTCTATACTCTCGTCATAATAAAAGAATCTGTTCCTCCCTCTATATAACGCTGGTCCGCCTCTACCGTTTCGACAAGCAGCGGCAGCGTGTTCGAGCAGGTTCTCAGGAATTCACGACTCATGCGGCGACCGGGTGTCCAGGATAATGGCATTTAACGAGGAGGAATCGTTGCATCGGGTGTACCGAACGCGGTCAAAATTACCGGGTCGGACTAATGTACAAATGACGCCCGATGACGATCGTGGGTATTGTTCTAATACCTTTTTCCGAGCGCGTTAACCCGTGAGAACATGTCAGCGCGTCTCCCTCTGGCTCTCTCTCTCTCTCTCTTTTCCATTGCCCCGGTTAGATATCGACTCTCAGTCTCGCCTCTATTCCCAACGCTTCGGTTTAATTACTTAATCAATATAACGTCGTTGCCAGCGGCTTAGCACTTGACGAAACAAGCGGATATCGCATTCGGCGGTAATTTCAAGCGTTCAACTCAAATCACCGTTATCATGTTACGGAGAACACTGTGGAGTATAATTGGAATCTTCTTTAACTTTTTCTTTAAGTTTCTTCTCCTCTCAACAAATAATAATTTTATTATACATATAATTAATTACATATAATTATTATATGTATTCTTAGAACTCTCGCGCGCGCGCGAGCGCGTGATGAATTTAATTTGACGAGTCATCGAGCACGATCGCGAATTATTTTTCTCGTTCGCAAAAAAGTGAAACCTACAACGTGCTTTTGTAGCACATTGTATACGTTGTACTCTCATCGTGCCTTATATGGAGATGTGGAAACAGATAGATCGCTTCGTAGGATCGACGGGCGTAATTAGTGCGCGCGAGCCAATCAGCGCCGTGGCGGAATTAGTATGCAGGTTGGGAAATTCAAGCGCATAAACGCTCGCAGGGCAGCGGAGCGGCCAAAGGGAGAGAGAGGATCGAATCGGGATGACAGAGAAAGAGAGCGAGAAAGTCAGGAAGGGCGACGATGGCGGTATAAGAGAGGCGGCGGCTCTCCTCGTCTCTGAAAACTGGTCTGGTGCAGTTGCGGTCTTAGGAACAGAGGAGAGTCGAAGGAGCTGCATTCCCCGGTAATTAGTCTCACCCATAAATTACTGGCTATTTCGCGTCTGTGTTGGTCACGAGTCGGTAACACCGTTCTTCCCCTCCTCATCTCGATACGTTCCGACTTCCCTTTCTGCTCTACCTACGCTTCTCGTTCTGCTCGGTCACTCAAAATATCGTTCTCGCTCCGAATGACAAACGAAAGAGAGAGAGAGAGAGAGAGGGAGAGATATGAGAGAAACTTATATCGATTTGAGTCACAGAAACTACGAACGTAAACTCGTAAGATTTCGAAATAAGCAGTTGCAAAATTGTCTCGTTTTTTTTTTCTGCCTCTTCGTGTTGACATTTCTTTCTCGGACTATTTAAATCAAATTCAAGCAGACGTCTATTTTCTTAGTTCATGAAAATAATCGTAGATTGTCCATGACACGAGAGTAACGTGCTATACATCCCGCGTGTTACGCGGTACCGCGTACTAATGGAGGGCTCAGATACGGCCGGGAGGGGCTATTTAACGGGCGGAAGATTCTCTAGGTGCCAGAAGGTCCGACTCTATGGGAACGAAACGGGCTCATCTTTGCCGTAGGTCCGCGGACCTGTTCTGGACCGAGCGGATCTCTCGGGGCGCCCAAGAAAGGGGCACAGGACCCCGCTGCTAAATGAGCTGTAATACGGACCCCCGCTGAACCTCCTCTCTCCGCGCGCCAGCCCTCCTTGAACCGTACTTCGAGGCATTCCCCCTCCCTTTCATCGCCGCTTAAAACCACTCACGCTGCTTGGCCCGCCGGTTATGATATGACCACACGAGACGACTTCTTCTGCTGTCGACTCTTCCTGCAATATTTTTACTTCTCGGCTCACCTTTATTTTTTCCCCGCTTGCTCTTTCATCGCCGCTATTATCGCCCTCGTCTCTATCACCGGGATCCCATCAATGACCGCGTCATTCCTGAGGATCGCCGGCGCTCCGAAAAGGAGACGACGCGTGTGAAAGTAGCGCGAGGTAAAGAGCCAAGCTGAGACCAAGAGATATAATTACGCAACCATCGTTGCATTTGATTGCATTTTTATATCAGACCAATATTTTTTCCATTATCATGATACACGACTAACTCTTAACTCTTAACTCTCGAGTGCGTGTGTAAGTCGGTCGAGTTTATTTTTCTGCTTCCGAACCTGAGTCTGGATCATTAACAACGCATTTGTTCCGCGAAACATCGTTTCCGCCATTGAGCGAACTAGTTCACAGTCCCTACTCTTGGCTATTATTCCAGGAAGTAACGGAGAACGGTCGTGACACACCGAGAACCATTGCTCGGCAAGACTGTTCGGTCAACGAAGCAGTTGACCTGCGTGCACGGCGGTCGATCCAGCAATTAGGCCAATCATTGCGATCGACGGTGCGACCCTTGCCGATCGGCGGCACGAGGATATCGCGCGTGCGTCGGTGCAATTAATTGGCACTATATAATCCCTTTGATTTTATTAGACACGTCAAGTTTTCCAAGGCCGAGCATCAACCGGTCGGTCGGTTTGCTTCTCACAGCTGACCGAAGCGTACACTTCGATTATGAATGACGATCCGCGGGACGCGGGATACCGAACTTGTAAACCTGCTAACGACTCGACTTATTAGCTGGATGTGACTGTTAGAGCTTGTACACCAACTAGACTCATAGATTGTAAAATATCGTCGTGTAGCGCGCGGCAGTAAACATACTCCCGAACGCTATAATTACCATGCCGTCCCGGCGGTAATGACGGCCGTTAAAAGATTCTGTACGTCGCTGCCGAAATAGAACGCACTTCGAGCAGAAGCTGCATCTATTACTTCCTAGGATGCCGGGTCTCCGTGTAATACAATTCGGAGCATCGATACTCTACTGTGAAACGGCCAGTGCTCAGGAACCGGTAAAGGCTGCTGCTGCTGCTGCAGCCGCGAGCTGGGCTCGCGGCTTTGTCGTGGCGGCGGAGATGAAAAGGATGTAGCGAGCCACACGCCGACAGCTTAAGCCCTCAATAGCCCACTACGATGGTGCCTGCAGCGTGTACCAAAGCCATGATATGGTGGGAGGAGAGGCGAGGTAGAAGGAGCAGGTCGCACCGGTCGAAAGGAGGAAGAGAAAGAAGCGAGGGAGAAGCGCGAGGATCCAGTCGGAGCGAGAGGTGGCGGGCCGAAGGGAGACGAAGCATGAGACGGCTACCGAGCGGAGCTCGTCTTCACAAAGCATCAGAATGGGACTTACCGGGGCCCCGTTATTAGTCCTTACTCGCGTCTTCGTACTAGTACGGAAGGGAGAGCATAGAGAACAAGAGAGAGAGAGAGAGAGAGAGAGAGAGAACGGATCTCGCGCTGAGCCGTACTCTCCTCGCCTCGTGCGACGAAGATGGAGGAGGTATGGGAAATGTCAGTGTCATCGATACCTGCTTTTCTCGTGGCGCTTCACGACCTGAAAACTCACCCGACAAAAGAACCCTCTTTGTCGCGCTGCCGTACTGGCGAGAGCCTGCGAGAAGGGAACAGGCGAGATTGACACGTCGAGCGAGATTCACTTGACAGAGCGAACTTCTTATTATAGGGATGAGAGGATAAGAGGGTAGTGTAGAGGGATAAGAGGTACACTCGAACGTCACACACAGGTTGATGCTCGGCTAATCTTCCATTGGAGTATCGTGTCTTCGGGGCGATTGATCGCGCTGTTTCTTTTCTTCTTTCTTTCTCGCCTCTGATTACGTTACGGTACGATGAGTGCATTTAATTCCTCTCTCGTAAATAAGACGATGCAAATCTGAAGAATATGCGCGTGTACATACTTGACTTACATACATGACACACTCTGTCTAAAAGCGAACCTTAACGACTTTGGGTATTTCGTACTCTCTCTCTCTCTCTCTCTCTCTTAGCTTTATCATGACTGCTCATCAGGAGAGTTGTGCCCAAAAAGTAGCTGCGTAAAGTATCAGATTAGTGTTATCGAGGCCCTTTCACGTTTGCTCGCGAGTTATTTCCGATTAAAGTCTCATATCCGCTATATTGCTCAGAATTTTGCAACACCTGCAGCATCCGTTGGATCATTTCCGAGCATGTCAAGTATCGCGTGAGCTCGTCGCGTCCTGCCAATCGGCATCACTCGACGTCGCGTCGATCACCTTGACATTGCGCAGCCGAAAGATCAAGACATGATCGCACCTCCCTCCGTGGGATCCTAAGCAGCATGCGGTGCGAGCAGAGAGGAGCCGAAGAGCGGCTCCTCGTGCCGACGGGTTCCGTAGGCGAGTTAAAAGAGGAAAAGAGGGGCTCGTCGGTTGCGTCTCGTTGCCGCCGAGCGGCGCTCACCTGCCTAGTTCGCAACAGTCTCGTACGGTTCGTTCAGGCCAGGAGCCTCGCCGGCGATCGCAGACGACCGTACCTCGCTGTCTCCCCTACCACTTTTCCACCTCCGCAGGCTCTCTCTCTTTCTATCTCTATCTCGTTCTCTCCTTGGCGGCTTTTTCATCCTTCCGCCTAGCCATTTCCGTCCTACCGTCAGCTGCCCCTTCGTCCTCGCCGTCGCTTGCGATTTTGCAACGAATTTCGCGAGCGCACTTCCCTACTTCCGTCCGCCGATTCGCCTTAACGCGCTATTAAAAAAGTCTTCGACGTCATTCTCCGGGGGATGGCTTTCACTTTGAAGATCGTACCTCTCGCGACGGCGAAGTCGAGGATGCACCCGTCGCCGGCGTCGGTGGCGGTGGCCTCGCGGCGGCGGTGGTGGTGGTGATGGTTGTGCTGGTGGTGGTGGTGGTGCTGCTGGTGGTGGTGGTGGCGGTGGCGGTGGTGGTGGTGTTGCTGCTGTTGCTGCTGGTGCTGGTGCTGGTGAAGAAGAGGAAGAAGAAGAGGAAGAAGAAAACGACGGATGGTGTGGTGGGGGTAACTCTTCTCTACTCCCCAGAACTGGCGTTAGTGGGGGTAAGGCAACACTCAAAGATCGTGGTGACGTAGTTCTGGCAGGAACGCGACGCGTTTTTGTCCACGTAGCAAGAAAAGAGGACTTTTCTACGCCTTATCTGTGTCCTACATTGTCGTTACCTGCTAGGAGTGAAGAAGAAAAGCGAGACGGAAGTACAGGAAGAGGAAGAGGACCACCGCGAAAGAGACGGCGAGACAGGCTGAGAAACAGAGAAAGAGAGAGAGAGAGGGTGACTGGGGTGGGGGAAGAAAGAGGGGAGCAGACGGAACCGGAAGTCAGTGCTCTTCTTCCGTGTCTTCCTCGAATCGCGATCGGCCCTTTTTCGCGATCTGAAAGACGTGTCTTCTCCGACGAAAAGGTATCTTCGATCGCTCCCAGGCCCACCTTCGGCACACGATACGATACGATCATGAAGATCAAGCGTGCACAGCAATGGTCCTCACCGTCGCCGCGTAATCTCGAAGAGGTATCTTCGCTTCGTAAGACGTGTCGGGAAACGCGACGCCAAGAATAGTTCTCAGGGAGACGCTCTCTCTTTCTCGTTCTCCCCTCCCCCTCTCTCTCTCCTTCTCAAAACGACCCAAGAAGGATGAGGAGTTCCGCACGTGCCGAGCAGGTCCTTGCAACGTAAAGTGTCGCGACCTCGTGCCCCTCTTCCGATGCCTCCGTGTCGACAACGACCCTGAAGAGAGACCCAGTTCGTGAAACTGCGGAAACGTTACATCGAATCGACGCGCTTTTCCGGAAAACCCGTTCCCTCGAGAGATGATCGTCGGAATGTTGAATCTCTCCGGACGAGCCGATAAGGGAATCGCGAGGTTGTAGAGGGGACAGTGCGTCAGCTGCGCGTGCTAATATTCGGCCACGAGGTGCACTTGGACTCGAGGACACATACGACCGGTGAACTCGCCGCGGACGGTTCGATTTCGCGCTCGTTGGCGCGCCGGCTGAAAGATCACGAGCTCCACCGCCGTCGCGATCTCTCTTCACCGAAGAGTTCCTCGTCCTCAGTGCGACACAGCGGACCAGAAGAGGAAGAGACGATCGGTGAACTTCGAGTGCGCTACCGAGGTGCGGAGGGGATGGAGATGCGCCCCGTTCTCGTGGCGATCTGCCTCCTCCTCGTCACCCCCATCACCGGCTCTTTCTGGTGAGTGACAATGTACCCCGCTTCACCGCGACACCATATTCCTTCTCGTCTTGCTCGTCGTCGATCATCGTATCGAGGAAGACGTTCAATCTTTGTCGAAAAGTTTGGCTTCGTCTCAAGCCCACGCAAGAAGCAGATTTACACTGCGTTCACGTGGAATCAGTAGATGGCAAGTGGAGCGGCAAGACCGTTCTCTTGCTGTTTCGGTTACCTCTCGGTTAAGAAAGATAAGCGGGTACTTGGCTGATTACCGGCTTCGCGTGTTCGCGTCTTGGACGGTTTCGTTCTGAATTTCACTTGTCGAATTACAGCTCGCATGCAATGTCACGATCTAACGTGACACGGGCGACCACGCTTATCGTTAACACAGGCAGTCGTGTAGTAAGCCCGCGCTGTCGTTCCTACGTCACACAAGCACTTGTATCATATCTCGTGCGAACGGCTTTCGCGCAATCTCCTTGGATTTATGAGTCTGATATGTCTGATAAGTGACGGATGAAAGCATCGCTCGCGCACCACTATTTTCAACGTAATTACATCTTAACTCGGTCTCACGACGATCGCGCGCGTCACCAGAGAAAGAGAGAGAAAAGGAGGCAGAGTAACACGGCGTGTTCCCGCTCCCCTTGCTCCTCTTCACCCCGTAGAAATCCCTCAAAACTGAGATAGAGAGTGACAAGTAACAGCTCGACGCGTCCTTAGCGCCGTAACGTGCGACGACCATAAAAGCGAGGGTTAAAACAAACATAAGTCATGTGTGCGTGGCGCGCGGTATCTGGGGTCTGGCCTATTCTGCTCTTGCGCTCGTCGACTCGCTCGTTCAAGGAAAATAGTATATAGGCAGAGCAGCGGCAAAGAGAAGATCCTTTCCCCCCTCGAATGGAACTCCCCGAGCCAGCGCGAAGAGTGAAAGCAGACGCGCGAATCATACGCGGCGCGACTCACGACTCCGACTTAGTGGCCGTCTACAATACATGGAGTAAGCTTGACGTAAGGAGTAAGAGTAAAAATAAGAAATAAAATTAATTTATTTCGCTTGTATATATACGTCTAAACTTCAGCTCTCTTACACCGGAAATATTCACTTGACAGAAAGACTTTCGGCGTAAAGGAGCTGGTGTATAGACATAAAAAAGCGAAATAAATTATTTCCATTTCTCTTTTTTCCTCCTACTCTTTCTGCTTACGCCAAGCTCACACCACGTATTGTAAACGGCCACTTACTCGTGCGACTTGCTCGGCTGGCCGCACTCGCGCGCGTTCGAATTCCGCGCCCGGCACGCGCGCAGATTATTGTATAACATGCAATTATTGCATAATACCCAATTATCGCGTAATGTACAACAATTGCCTCGATCACGCTGTATCTTGATGGCTCGGTTGCATGAGGAGAGTTAACGTCGCTCGCGCTGAACGCTTCAACGTCGTCTGCCCCTTCGTGACCGCCGCTCGCTCTCGTTGCTCTACGTGCATCCGTATTTCATAAATCCACGTACGAAATTGTAGCCTCGCGTTAGCGCAATGCGCCGCGCAGAGCGTGAGAGGAACTAACGAGTGCTCCAGTTTCGTGGCGCGTCATCTGGGTTATCAATTATTACGTCGCGCGTTACGCGCGCGTAGGATGAGTAATGACGCTATAAATCCTCCTTTGGTAGTTATCCGTGCTCTTATAAGCGGACTGCGTCTTGAGATTTATGGCTTCATTTTGCGCTACGCGACTCGCGCTCTCGCATTATCGGCCACGTGAGAGAAACGCTCCCTCTAAATATCTCTTTATTTTTGAGCGTGACTCCGCTTCTCCCGCACATCCGCACTCGTTTCGTTTATTTATTGAACTACCTGGTTTCCGCTTCACCTTCCGCTTACCTGCGCCGGTTACGACTTGCCCAACGTCGACGGAGAATCCGAGGAATTCGTCGATCGCCGAAGCTGCGAAATCACGTGACACTTTCGGTAGCTGAACTCCAACTATCTCGGCGTGCGACAGTAAATTACTCGGTAGCGCGACACTCGCTGTGTACTCTGCTTTGTTATATAAATGTTTGCACGGTGATAGAACGTTATCGTGCCCGTGTCACTCGGGATTACAGCATCCGGAGACGGATCGTCCCGTATCTATCTGGCGAGCGTGGCGTAAACTGGCGTAAACTTCGTACGCATCAACAACGTGTTTTAGTATATACGTTAACCGTGGAGACGCCACTTTATAAAGGATTCTTAATTCTGCGGTATTGCTCGCGAAAAATTATACGCGTGAAAAATAATCGATCTCTTACACAACGCACGGAAAAAACGCTTGGCTCGATTAACCAAATTTCTAGTGAAATATAAACAAACATTCCGACTGAAGCTACCAGAATTCTACTCAAATCAATCTTGTTAACTTGAACAAAATTCCGGTAACTTTAACCGGAATTCGTCCATATTTTAATAGAAATTTGGTTAATTCAACCCAATGTTTTTTTTATATAAAGTAAAGCACATGTGTATTATCTCTTTTTTATCAGCTAATTATTATCATCCATCAAGACACTGTAAAATTAATTGCGACACAAGTAGTAGCTGAAAAACAATGAGCTTTACACATATGTATGTATGTATATATATAATAGTGCTGAGATAAACTCTGGTAAGATCGTATATTTTTTCTTTATGTCATTACTGACACGCTTTCTCGGGTGTGAGCGACAGGATTTGTTTGACGACGTCGGGGAAGGTTGTTTGCGAGAGTGAAGAGGGTGAGAGTCCTCCCCGAGGCCGATAAATATTTGTTTCCAGTTTAAAACGGACTTTTGACATCTTGACTGCGCTGTGAGGCCTTGCACCTTATTGCTCGCTCGCTCGCTCACCTGTCGTAGCCGTCGTTCACGGCGTGTTTGATAAATATATTAGGAAGATGACGGTTTGTTTCGATAACAGGTATTTAACGGTCAAACTGGAAACTCTCCGCTCTTTCTTTCTGCCTGCTTCGTTCATCATCCGCTATGAGTTAATCTGCGGCCACTATCGCGCACGAAGACGCGTGTCGGATCGTTTTATCCACTTCGCTAGTCACTGCGGCGCGTAGCATATCGCGTCCAAAATTCAATTTGTGTAACTTAGTTCCATTTTTCTTCTCGAATCATCATGTATGTGCATACCGAATTATATATAATTACACAAAAATATTCGAAAATCACAAATACTTTAATTTTTCGCACTTTTACACCCTAATAAAATCGATTCAAATTACATGGGAATAAGTCAGAATTTTCAGGCGCTCTTAAAGATTGCAAATTGCGCGAAATGAAAAGAATTGGAAACAGCGACGCTGCTTCGCGAACCTCTCTCCCTCGATTCTCCCTCGATGACACTCGAGATGACTGCACATCATCTCAACGACCCTCATTCCTGTGGAATGTCATCTCTCCCTGCTCTGAAAATATCGCGGGGTCTATAAATCAGCCGCTCGTACGATCGTTCGTCATCGAGTCGCGCATTACGCCCTTCTCGCGGGTTCTCCTGGGTCCTCCGCGAGGACCCGGAGCCCCGATTACCCGATTGGAACCGGATTCCCTTTCGTCGATCGGCATTCCTCGGTTTTTTCGCGACGAATACTGCTCTCTCTCTCTCTCTCTCTCTTTCTCTCTTTCTCGCTCGCTCTCTCTGTCTCCCTCTCGTTCCTGTCCTGTGCTCACGCATCGTCCGCTCGCGTTTACCCCGTCCTTCTCATGCGGTCCTCTGGGAACGAAGGGACTCGCGGAGGAGCGGCCGGAGGCAGGGTGGGCGATTCACGAGGGGACAAAGACGACCAAGTGGAGGAGTAAAGAGGTAAAGAAGTGAGCGAGGATGGACAATGGTCTCGCTCAAAGCGTCACCCGTAAATCTCGTTGAGCGCGTATAATTTGTAAGTCGGCAGCAGCCCCCCTCGCCTCCTACCCTCTACTCACCCCCTCGTACTCTTTTGCCCGCTGCTCGTCCTGCTCCGGCAGCCGTTTTGCCCGCGTTTCTTCTCTTTCTCTCTTCCTCCCCCGCCTTCTGAGAGATCCAGAAGACCGTAGCCGAGATACCACGGGCTTCGTTCCATGTTCCTGCGCGGCTCTCGTTCCGATCGCACGTTCCTGGCCAATTCGTGCGTTTCTTCGACGCACCGCGTGTTGTATACGCGGTGTACTATCGGTTTTTGTATCGATACAATATTGAGGTACGTTTGCGGTCGCGATATCATCACAGATTGCGTTATGTCTCCCGTCTGCTACAGGAGCGTGTAACATCGCGAGATACAAGATTTATAACCAAATTTAGATTAAACCGTGCACTCGACGGAGATGCTTTTATTCGGAATCGAAGACGAGTAAGGTAAAAGTATTAATTCCTGGACATTCTTATTGTTTTGTTCTTTAAATGCGAATATTTATATTGAAAGTTTAAATATTCATATATAAAAAAAAAGACAAAACAGCAAGAATATCCGGGTATTAATGGTTATTCGCATAGCTTCGCCGCGGATAGACCACACATAACAAACTGCCGAACGTAAATACCGTATCCGCTTGCAAAGGTGAAGGAAGTGCGGGCCCTTTGCCAGCGCACAATGATTATTCCAGAAATACCAGAATCGTGTCGACGAGACGGCCAACAGATCGTCCCCGTCTGTTTTCGGGTGCCAACATGTGTCGGCCGATCGATCATTCGCGATATCGAGGTGTACACATAAATACCCGACGTGATTCGCAGATCGGCAAATAGCATAGCGCGGTCACCATCGGACAAAATAGCGCCCCATAACAGACTAATTATATAAACTGGACGCACGAAGAGGTAACTTTTTTCAGTAGGACGATCTTATTGCGCCATTAATCAATTTCGGATGATTTTCCCTCGTCGATCCCAGAGTTTCTTAACTGAAGGTTAAAACGCATATGGTTTTACCAAAAACCATAAAAAAATTGATCAAAAATGGAAGGAAAATGAGAAGTTGAAGTATTGCGAGTCACTTCCTGATTATAAATACGCTAAAA